CAACAGAGCAAGACCCTCATCTTTAAAAACAAACAAAAAGAGAGAAAGGAAGGAAGAAAGAAAGGAAGGAAGGACTTTTGAGGTGGAAGAGACCTCAGCTCCTTATTTAGTCCTAACAGCTGACCTAAGTGACGTTCCATATGAAGACCCTGTTTTTTTACTGGTGTTTTCACAGCTGGTTAGAGCAAGAGCTGACTCCTAGCTCAAAGCTCAAGTTCCAAGTTGAGACTTTACAGTTTTAGACTTTCAGGCTTGGAGAATTGAGCTAAAAACTCCTAGCCCTTGCCCTTTGTTCCCTACTTTAAATCTACCTAAGTTCTCTAAGCATTTCCATAAACCAACCAGAGAAATATCAGGCGGGACAAAGGACAGGTGGGAAAGGACAGCCTGTCACCTCTCTCTTTCAGGTTTGGGATAGTACTTCCGCAGAGGAAACTCACCATGGAAAGACTCCACTCCTGTTTCTCTCTCTCTCTCTTTCTCTCTCTCCCCGCCTCCCCCTTTTTCTCTCTCTCTCTCTTTCCAAAGTTGATTAGAGAATTAGAGAAAGAAGAGGGGAAAGATAGAGAGACATGCCAGAGCTGGTATCACACTGTCCACTCATCTTTCTTCTCCTTTTGCTCCATCGAAATCCTTTTCCTTGTATCTTCCAGTTCTCCCTGTTCATTGTTTCTTCCCCTTAGGCCAGCAAATGTGATCACTTTTCCGTTAATAAAAGTGTTCCTTTGGCCCTGCCTTGCCTTAAGGTGGTTATCCCATTTTTTCCCGTTGAAGATTCTTAAAATTCATTATTAGGATACATTATATATAAATAGAAAAAATAATTGAAGGATGGTCTGAGATAATATATAACTAAATGCCAAGATGTTTATTATTTAAGTTTAGTCTGATAGTGAGGGAGGAATATATCAAAATGTAGTTATTAGTAGTTTAGGGGAAAAATGTGATTTTTACACATTTATAGCTTTTTAAAAAAAAAAGTATTATAGCTTTCCAAAGAGTCTGATAAGATGTCTATCTGGGAATGAGGTTGAAGAAATTTTTACGTTGGATAAAAGTTGTGATTTAGATGACTAGAATCTAAGTTTGTATGATTATATGGCATATTTTATAATTCTGTGATATGAAGCATATTCTTATACCTTTTTCATAGTCAAATGAAAGATACATGCTTTCAAAAAAGAGCAAATAAAAGTCCACATAATTCTTAAGTCAGTTGTCCCTGCCTCCAACAATATATTTATTTATTTATTTATTTGAGTTGGAGTCTCACTTTGTTGCCCAGCCTGGAGGGCAGTGGCACTATCATGGCCACTGCAGCCTTGACATGCTGGACTCAGGCGATCCTTCCACCTCTGCCTTACAAGTAGCTGGAACTATGGGTGCACACCACCACTCCCGGCTAATTTTTTAATTTATTATAGAGATGAGGTCTTGCCACGTTGCCCAGGCTGGTCTTGAACCCATGGGCTCAGGCAGTTCTCTTGCCTCTGCCTCTCAAAGTGCTGGGATTATAGGTGTGAGCCACTGTGCCTGGCAACCCTCTAACAATATTTAATAGAATTTTTCTTCCCTTGCTGATGGAAACCATTTTTATATGTAATATTAATTAGATATAAAAGTGACCACTCACTAATGTCTGTGGAGATAATATGGCCAGTCCTGTCTTTGCAGCTTCTGTACTGAAATATCAGGCTGTTTTTTGACAGCTTATTTTTTCTTCCCCATCCTTCAATCAAAAAAGTCAACCACACCACAAACGCACTGTTGCAAGCAGACTCCTCTGGGTAGTTTTTGGTGTTGATGGTTTGTTTGAAGAAAGAGGGAAAAAAAAAAAATCACTCGTTGCGGTCTGAATGGGTTACAGAGCTCTCTCTCAGGCATGAAATCCCGTCAATGTGTGTGCATGTATTTATAGGAAGAACAGGCTGGAGGATGTGTGCCAGGAGTGGCAACCTTTACTCTAACATTTGCGGCAGCACATCCCTGAGATGAAGAGAGCAGAGGGAATGGAAGTGGAAGTGCCTGGTGGTGCCATGCTCATGTTGGGCACATGTTCTAGGGACGGCAGCTCCTTGGCCTACCTACACTTTTGGCTTTGTTTTGTCCTCTGTTCTTCACTTGGGACTTTTAGCGGTGATCTGAGAGTTTAATAAAAAGCTTGAATGGCTACAAAAAAGGGAAAAAAGTAAAAACTGATAAAAGAAAAATGCAATGTATTGAAAACCTTGGTGCTTGAGGAAATATGACCTTCCTTATCTCTTATAAATATGGAACTATCTCTTTCAGCTTTATATTGCCCTGGGGATATGCCAGTGTTTTAATACTCTAATGAGAGAGGAGGGGAGGAATCCAACTTTTTGTCTCTGAGAGTGTTTTGGGTAGTATTTTCATTTATAGTATTTCATTTATAGTATTTTCCCTTCCCAAACTTGCTTGTTTGACTTGCCTGACTCTTCCTTTCTCTATCTTTTTTTTATGTTATAGTTTCTGCATTCATAACACATTTGATTCTCAGTCTCAAAAGTATGACTGAAATGCACTTTTCTTAGAAAAGATGCAAATTCTTTAAGAGATAAGAGATGATAGCCAGCAGAAAGGAGAATATAGTTTTCTGGAAAGAGCGCTGGACTAGAAATTCAGAGACTTAACGTTCTCCTTCCATCAAAACTAACTTGTAAGTTCATGACGGTGGCTAAGATATTTTTTCCATCTGTACTGCATTCTTGCATCTCTGAAAAGATTGCCTATAAATTCCCTTTAATAACTTTTAAGATCTTAGCGAGCATATGTTCTTATTTTTGATTGAGGAGCAATTGGCATAACGTTCCTCTCATATCTTTGAAGAAGAGTCTTAGAATCCTGGAGCTGGAAGGAATCTCAAGGGGTCTTGTCGTTTTTCGACTTCTGGAATAAGCCAAAGCTTTGATTTTCTTTGTTTTATCACTACATTGTCTGAATAAGAGACCTTGACATTTTCACAGAAGTGCATAGGATAACAAGGAAGTTGATTCACAAACTTGTTTTATCTATTATCATTAAAATAGGCCTATAAAGTTGAACATTTTTAGGGGCTGGCCAGGTAACTTAAATGAGGTGAAGAGACTGGTAGTGGGATCACAGGGACAGGGGATGGGAGAGTGCATATACCCTGCATTCATGGGGCGGCCATACCTGGCTTTTAAAACACCTGATGGACCCAATAAAATGTGCCTTTCAGGGGCAAAGGGCCATGGTTGGCAGTGCTCAATGTCTGTTGAAAACAAGTTTGTATTATTTGGGATTTTTGTTGGGGGAATTCAAATTTAATAATAAAATACAGTTATAGAAGGAATACACAGCCTGTTCCCCTCAGTATGTGATTTGTGTAGTCCTTCTTCTGGCAGGTTGTTCTTTCTAGATTCCTTAAGCCTCCTCCATCCTCCTTTAAAAAAGTTTCTTTGCTCAGAATTATTAATTCGTGCACATTTTCTCTTCTTGTTTCTGAAAAATTCTTTTTCGGGTTCCTTTAATGTTGAACAACCCCTCTCCTGCAACAGAAGCACTTGTTTTGAATATTTTTTTAAAACTGTCCTCCAGGGTTTAATGCTACTCTCCACAAAGGACTTCGTCTAACCTGAAGACTCCTTTCTCACATTGTATTGTTTATAGAGAGAAATGGTGGATCTTGTTCCTTGTAAAGCCCTCTGTATTACTCAGTTGCAATACTCTGTATTACTCAACTCCCCCCTTTTTTTTCTTTTGGTGCTACAAGTCTGCAAACTTTTATTACAGATTTTATTTCTTCTAGGGTTCTGGTAATTGTAATTATTTTTCTCTGAATGCTCTCCAACATGGACACTAAAAAAATAATATTTTGAACTGAACTCAGTCCTCTCATGGGCTGATCCAACTGGTGAGATAAAACCATGATTTCATTGCTTTTGACAGAGGGTTAGCACCACACCACTGGATCATATTCATTGTACACTCTGTGACCTCAATATCTTTTTCCCTTACTGGCTCTGTTGTAGCCAGGATTTCTTCATGGCTTATCTTCCTAATTCATTTTTCATTTGTAAGTGTGCTACCTTGTACTCACACCTAAAAAGCACTATCTTGTTTTTGATGGATCGTTTCTATTTCTGATTTGTCAGGGTTACTTAGGATTCTGTTATTTTTCAGAAAAGCTAGAAACCTTAACCTAGTCTATAGCCAAAAAATGACAGAGAATGCTTTCAATTCTATTATGACAGTCATTGATTTAAAAAAAATATATTCAATAATACTAGACCCAGGAATCTGGTGCTGTTTTATAACTCTCCCAAGTTGCATCAAGCCATTTATTTCTGTTGCTATTAACATGGTTACTAGGTATTTTTAAGCTCCACAGACATTGATATCATAGTTTCTTACTTGATTATAAAAACTAGATTTGAATGACTTGGAGTAGTAATTTGGGGAGCTGTGGTTAGTTGTAGCGGAGAAAAGAAATCCCATGATTGTTTAATTTATACATGTAGCTAAAGTCGCATCATTATTTTATATTTTTAGTAGCAAGGTGGGAGAAAATAGCAAAGCCTCTGGATTGATTATAAATATGTTTTGTAAGCCGGGCTCAGTGGCTCAGCCTGTAATCCCGCGCCTTGGGAGGCTGAGGTGAGTGGATTGACTGAGCCCGCGGGTTTGAGACTTGCCTGGGCAACTTGGTGAGACCTCATCTCTACAATAAATCAAAAAATTAGCCAGGCGTGGTAGCGCGCACCTGTAATTCCAGCTACTTGGAAGGCTGAGGCAGAAGGATCGCCGGAGCTCCAGCAGGTCGAGGCTGCGGTGGCCGGGAGCGGCCACTGCACTCCTGTGTGGGCGACAGAGTGAGACTCCAACTCAAAAAAAAAAAAAATGTTTTGTAGATTTTTTTCTGTGTTGGACTTTGAGAATGTCTATGCTTTGATATAAATTTAATAGTGTCCTATATAATGTATGAACATAATGAGATCCATTTCTCGTTATTGTCATTACAGGTTTCAGAAGGTGACAATGAGACGTGAAGAAATTACATTTCTCGAACTTGAAAGTTAGTGACTGCTTACCAATTTTAATGAGAATAAAATATGACTTAGAAGCATTGACTTATGAAGGTTTATGATGTCATCGGTTTCAACAGAAATCAAACTGCAGCAGGCTGTGAGCCTGCAGGGAGTTGACCCAGAAACATGCATGATTGTATTTAAAAACCACTGGGCACAGGTAATGTATGTGTTCTACCTCTCTGCTGGTCTTGGTAGCCCCAGGGGCCTCCATACCTCTGTGACCGGTAACTGGGTTTCCAGAAACGTAGGGAGGGAAGCTTTTTCAGATAGGAAAGAAAACAACTTTCTCATCTTCCTTTCCTAGAGTAGATATCTGGCTAAAAACCATGGTTTTCACTAAAGCAATTAGGGTACATGCATGTTCTTCAGGTATTTTTAGAAGAACAGCAATTGTTCCTTAAAGTGACTTTTACATCACTTTGCAATATACTTGACCATAATTACTTCCTCTCTCTTTCCCTCTTTTCTGCTGATTTCCATCCAGCCTTTAAACTCTAATAATAATAAAATACACGTTTATTAAACATTTACCATGTACTGTGTTAAGTACTTCGGATGCTTTGTATCATTTAATCTTCTCCACAAACCTATAAGGTAGCTATTATTAGCTTTCTTATTTTACAGAGGTTAAGTCACTTGCTTAGGGTTATACAACTAGGAAGTTATCAAGCAGTGTTTTTAGACCTCATCCCTTGACTCCAGAGCCCCTGTGTTTGACCTCTGTAATCCACCAGGTTTGGGTTGGTGGTCCCGTATAATTTAAGGAAAGAATCTGGCTATACCTGAATCTGTGTCTTCTTCTCCACAAAGCTTTTGATTATTTATCTTGACTTCTCTGTAACTCTTCTCTGATTTGCTTGTGTGGATCATTAAAGTTTGAATGTTCAGAAAATGTACCCGCCTGCCCCTTTCCTCAGGGAGTTTACAAGTAGTAAAATAAATAAAATTGACATTTTTTTTTACTACTTGTCCAGCACTCACTCCCCAGGTGAGCTGGTAAGTGGCTATTTATGTGACAGTTTTTTAATGACTACCCAGTTCCTTTCTGTGGCTGGAAACAGCACATGGGTTAAAGCATGAGCCTGTAAATCACAACAATTATAGGGGACACAGTTTAGATAAAAAAAACCCAACAAAATCAATTCTGTTTCTGAGTCATTTATACTGTATAGCTTCTTGTTACTATCCAGTGTAAAGTGTCCAAGATATTTTGTGAATTTCCCTTTCTCTGATTTTTTTACTGTTAGAATTTTAATGAGTTTGCTGTGAACATTAAAGACATAACTTTTTTAGTAAAGGAAAGTAGCTTAGGAGTTTTCCAGATAATGACAACAGTTTCCTTTGGCTTTTTACTTTTATAAGTTTTTTTTTGGAGTCTCACTCTGTTGTCCAGGCTGGAGTGCCGTGTCACGCTCATGACCACCCCAGCATCGACCTCCTGGGCTCTGGAGATCCTTCTGCCTCAGCCTTCCAAGTAGCTGGAATTATAGGCACACGCTACCTTGCCTGGCTAATTTTTTATTGATTGTAGAGATGAGGTCTTGCTAAGTTGCTCAGGATGGTCTCGAACCCATGGACTCAGGCAATCTACTCGCCTCAGTCTCCTAAAGTGCTGGGATTATAGGCTGAGTCACTGAGCCTGGCCCTTTGATAAGTATTTTAAGGCAGTGGCTCCACAATGGGATGGTGAACCCTAAGGTATGAGCCCAGTAGTCCATTGGTGTGGGAAGAATAATTTATTTTTATTTTTGAGTCAGGTTCTCCCTCTGCTTTTCAGGCTGGAGTGAAGTGTCATAATCACGGCTTATCACAGCCTCAACCACCTGGGCTCAGGCCATCCTCCCACCTCAGCCTCTTGAGTAGCTGGGACTACAGGTGCATGCCACCATGCCTGGCTAATTTTAAAAATTTTTTTTTGTAGAGATGAGTTTTTACTATGTTGCCTGATTTGATCTTGAACTCGTGGGCTCAAATGATTCTCCCACCTTGGCCTCCCAAATTGCTGAGATTACGGGCATAAGCCACTACACCCAGCCAAACTATTTCTGTCTTCACCTTTAAAAAATTTCTGTTTGGTGTTTAAAATATACATAATATATTTGTATATTAGTACACACATGTTTATTAATTCATTTAATAATTCAGGCTCATCCTTTAAAACTGTTATTGCATAATCACATGTTTTGAATCGAGAACGTTTCCAGCATCTGTCATTTCGTGTGACTGAGGAAGTCTGTCATTCTAGCACACACTGTCTGGCCACAGCCCCATTCTGTTTATTTGTGACTAATACCTTTGATTATAATCATTTCTGCTGGGGTAATTGTGATGTGTGGTCCATTTATTGTTCTGTACACTTTCCAAAGATGTGACATGTCATCAGCTTCTTGACTGTATGTAGGTGGGTCATCTGCCCTGGCTTGTCCCAGGCAAGTTTTCCCCAAAGCTGTCAGAGTGGTGCTAGAATGTCCACATTGCTGAGAGAGTGAATAGGGACCCAGAGTCACATGATTTATTTCCAAGCCAATATGAATGACTTCATCATCATCAGACGTTCTGGGTTACCCGAAGCACAGTGCAGATACGTGGTACCCTCCTCTCGGTGCAGATGAATATTGAGTTGTAGGGAAGGATAATTTTGTCAGAGGGAAGAGTGTTCAGTCATCACACATTTCCTCTTGTCAAGTGGGCACGCTCTTGGTCATATTTTGACTCAGCCATTTCTTTAACTTTGGGCAGGCTTTTTTTTTTTAAAACTTTTAAGCTTGACTTTAACTTTTAAATAAATCTGAAAAATGCCCTCTTTCTACACAAACTCTTGAGGACCTTTCTGAAGGAAAATACTGGTTGAAGAAATTTTTGTGGGTGTCAAAGTAGCTATTGTTCAACTGAGATCTCCTGAGCCCACATTTCCGGTGTGTCACCGTAGGCATCACTGATGGGACTTAAGAGTGTGTAAGCCTTTAAGGAATGTATAAGCTAATTCAGATAACAATGCAAGATATAACAAAATGACTTCAGGAGTTAAGTCAGGAGAAGAAGGAACTATTATGGCTGGAAATGGCCTGGGAAACAGGGAAAGTGAGCTCTTGCTAGCTTGGCTGTGGAAAAAAGAAGGTTGTGATGACAGACAGGAAGAGACCATTTCAGAGAAGGGGTACCAGGAACAAATGCTCCCAATTCTGACTTTTTTGGATGGTGAAAAAAAAGGAGGGGAAGGCGCACACACACACAAAATCAGGGCAAGGCAGAGATGTGGGGCCAGGAGTGAGATGAGGAAGGAGACCCCAGTTGACGGGAATGAATGCTACTTATTTTATCTTTGGAGTTCCATGCGTTGCTCTTTGCTGTGAGCTATCAGGCTGGGGGTGGGTGAAGAGCAGTTGCAGAGGCTTAGGAAGTGAGGCTGAGGCACCCCTAAGCTCCCCTGAGGCAACCCGAGAAAACCTGTAGGGCTGGTAGCAAATGTGGCACTGACAAAGCTGGTGACAGCATTTTATTTACTCAAATGTCCTGTGCCCTGCCCAGAACAATGCAGTTTTTATATGTTAAATTAGGAAAAATGAAGGCAAGAACTGCCTGTGGGATCCTGAATGCTTCTCTTTGTTAGTACACCAAAGCAAATTCAACATAATTCACCATATCTGACAGGCTTATTCTAGGATTTATAGGTGGTATCTATTCCAGAGCTGGAGTTAAAAAACAAACGCTGATGGAGGAGGAGATCTGCTTGCCACTTGTGCCTCCTAAGTCTGTCAGAGGCAGCTAGCTATACCGCCGACTGTCATCTGAGCATTCTGTGATTTGAGGGGTTGTCAGGGGGGATATTAACTGGCCCCAATGGTGCACTTGAGTTTCCAACTGTTCCTGGGCCCAGTGATCTCATAGCATCCCCGGAACAGCTCTACAGCAGACGTCAGGAATAGCTGCATTCCTAACAGTGACACTGGAGAATCCAGGCTATAGAAAGTAGCCCTTGGCCTGGACTTCCCCTCACCTCCTGAGATGCCATCTTGTATTTTAAGTTGCCAGAGCAATGAATCTGAAACCCAGATCTGTCCAGGTCATTCTTGTTGGAACTCTCAGTGGCTTCTGGCCACCTATAGGCCCATACAGTTCTTTATGTCCTGACTTCTGTTACTCCCTGCCTCTCGTTTAGTCTCCAGAAATGCACAGTTGCTTGGGGTCCCTGGCCATCCCCTCCCCTGGGCAGCATCCATCATGCTGTTTCATACCTCTGTGCCGTAGACACTTGCTCTTCTTTCTGCTGGAAATATGCCTCCCCCTGGTTAAATGCCTCCCCTTCTGCAGGCCTTATTTGGGGCATCGTTTGTTCTAGGAAACCAATCTTTTCTGTCCTCTTTCATGTTCCCACTCTGTGTTCCAAGACCATCTGAGTATTCTTTTACTGCTATACCACCACCTTTTAATTTAATTTTGTATTATTATTATTATTATTAATATTATTATTACTGTGTTGACCAGGCTGATCTTGAACTCCTAGCTCAGCCTCCCGGATAGCTGGGATGGTAGGTGCAGGTAGCCAGAACAGAATGTGTCATATTGTAGATGTTCAATAAACAGTTGAACTGAAAAGCAGCCAATATGAGATATAACTTTAGGACACACAAGCCAGTTAGGAAACAGTTCTGAGCATTCACTAACTTTAAAACATTTTATAATTTGCTGCCAATAAGATATTTGAACTTGCATTCAATGATCTGGAAGTGGGGGGGGCGGAGGAGAGAGAAAGAGAAAGAGAATGAGAATGAGTGTGTGTGTGTGGTTAGTATTTATAGAGTCTATAAAAATAGTTTATAATTTAGTCGGCTGTTGTTTTTTTCTCTCGTCTTTGTGTCTTTGTCTTTTTCTGAATGGAAGAGAGGACAAAAATGATAAGAAGCATTGGGCCACCAGGTGATAAACAGTTTAACTAGACTGCTGTGTGAATGCAACACCCTACACTAGTTATTTTTGATGGCACAGTTGTATTTTGTGAAGCTTCGTGGACTTTGCTCCATTCATTCTCTATGTCTGCTCTTAAAGCCAAGAGAACAGAGGAGAACAATCAATTGGAAATGCACATTTCAGTCTTTGTTTCTAGTTCGTTAATAGCTCAGCACTTCCTCCTGCCACCCGTGGCCTCCAAAAATAAGC